CATACATACAGTATATATATATATATATATATATATATATATATATATATAATTTTTTTTAGGCCTGTGTAGGGCTTTACTGCCAAACACAAAATGTCGTGTTTTGCAGATGTATTCCAATTGCTCTATTTTATACAAGTAATGACTGTGAGGGCAAATGCCAATCTTGCAATGCATCGCATTAATATATATATAATATAGCTTTAAAGGGATACCCACACCGCCGTCATCATTTACTAACCCTCATGTCAATCTAAACCTGTACTCATTTTGAAGAATGTCTTGTCTCTCTTGTCTCTTGAAGTGCTCACTAGCTGCCCATTTCTTACTGTTTAATCCCAGCACTATCGAGTCCTTGTCCTCACTTCAACGCTTTGCCTGGTAAACAGGTTTAACTCGTACCATAAGCTGCTTTCAGGTTTAGATGTAGTCCACCAAAAACCATAATCACAGTCGTACTCTCTTTAGAGCACAAGTACATCAAATGCCTTGTTATGAATTTAGATTCTGTGCCTCTAATAAAGTGGACAAACAGGAAGCCAGTGTCTGTCTGAAATACAATCTGAATCCATGCATTCAGGATTTAATAATGGCAGGAAAGCTATTAAGGTATTAAACAGTCAGGTGAGGCCTAATCAGCCACAGTGCTGAAAGAGCAGGGCTTAGAAGCACTGCAGTCTGTTGGCTATTTACGCTAGATCGTTTTTTTATGAGGTCGAGCCAGTTTGAAGATCTTGTCTTATTGAGGTTATTGCCTGTGATTAGCTCAGCCCTGATGGTCAGGGGTGGTTATCTAAAGGTTATGGATCTAACACAAAACTTGGAAGTTTAGTTTCAAGCAGAGAATTTCATACATTTCAGCAACGTACATATACAGTGCATGTACCAATGTGCACTATAATGGCTTTGGAACCATAATTCCTTGTTATCATCTTTATCTCTTTGCCTGATTTCTTACTACATATTAATTCTTCTAAATATTTAGTTAATTACAGAGTTTAACTTTATTGGCTAGCAAATATCTTATATATAAAATGTAATTGCCACAGTACTTCACTGATCTTCTGATATGAATCTTTCCATATTTTGCCTAATGTAATAGATGGGAAGAAGAAGTCCACTTCCTCTGGCATTTAATCAGTAGTTTATACTATTTAATTCTGTAAACAAACAAACAAAACAAAACAAAACAATTTATTCTGACATTAGTGGGGACAGCAGCCTCATTTTTGCATTTATGGTCGACGTTTGACAGCAATTTCATGTCTTCTAAATTTGATGTTTAACAATTTAGCTTTCTGTACCTCAAGATAGAATATCTAAACAAGCATACATTCTGAAAAAAAACACCTTATTTCGGTTAAGTTGACTTAAATTAATATTTTTTTGTAATATCAGAAGTTAAATGTGACTAATGACAACAAGAACAAGAAGGCAGTTTAAAAGAGACTTGAATTTTATTCGGTCTATAGTGCAATCATTAACATCTCTCATACATCAGCATCAGAGTCATACATAATATATGGACAGAACTTACAAATGGGGGTTGAGGGCTCGGAGTGGTTGTGGGGGGGGTTCTTAATGACACTGTACATCACTTTATTTTAATATAAAAAATTTATCGGACCATTGGAGATTCTGAGAAAAAAAAAATGCGCGGGACCCTACAGTTCAACTCAACTTTGTTGCACATAGATAAACTGCACACTTTAATTTTGTGATATTCTAGCTACCAGTTTGCTTCATAAGTTTAACAACATTAAGTTGAAGTTAATGTGTGTAAACTATCATGCAACTGAACACATGTTCTTACTCTGTCCATGCATTAAATGCAGTCTTTTAAAGACTGCTGTTTTCTAGTGTATTTACTTTAAAGGGGTGGTTCACTGTTTTTTTTCTAGGCTTGATTGTGTTTATGGGGTGCAGTCTAACATGTGTTAATGCTTCGTTTTTTTAAAAAATGCATTCTTTTTCACATAATTTATCTTTATTCCACAACGCTCTGTCCCTTCTCTAAGAAACGCGCTGATCATTTCCTTCTTTTATGAAGCCCCTCCCTCAGAAATAGTCAATGGGCTCTGATTGGTTAGCTAGCCCAGTGTGTTGTGATTGGCTAAACCGCCTCTAGTGCGCGTCTAACAGAGGATATTATTCTTTTAATATACGGTTTTATCCTGAGTAAAGCTTTAATACAGTACGGCAACTGCATGCGCGTCCATGTTCTTCTCATAGCTATATGTGAAAATAAGTGTATAATTGTAATAGTTCATTGTTGGAGCTTAGCTGAATGAGAGAGAGAGAGAGCGAGAGAGAGAGAGAGAGAGAGAGAGATGCAGAGCGTGTGCAGAGCAGGGGGACGCAAGGAACAGTATTAAGAACACTGCTTTTGAACATTGATTTTGAATCTTGTGAATCCATTAGAATCGTTAGAAGACAGAATCGCGATTCATATACGAATAGATGTTTACGTGCACCTCTAGTTTTCTCTTCCTCTTCTCTAAAGCAGCGCAGCATGGCCTCGCCCCCTTTGCTGCCTTTTCCCGAGGGTGGGGTTTATCTGGGTTTGTGATGTCACGAACCCGGGAAGTAACTTGCTGTAGTCCCTACCAGCCGTTTTTGTAGGCATTAATTGCCAGAATTTTAAAAGAAGATATCTCCGTTTGCATTGAACTTTCAGCTTCGTAACTTTGCAGATATTGTTTATGCTCAAACAGCAACATTGTACACTAACTAATGTTAAAAAAGTGAAATCGCAATCAACCACCCCTTTAACTTCTCAGGTAGCGTCAGTGGTATGACCCATTTCAGACGCCGCCAAAATTCCAACCACAGTGGTTACATAACAGTTTTGGTAACACTTTAGTTTAGGGACCAGTTCTAACTATTAACTAGTCGCTTATTAATCTCAGCCTCAGACGGCATGCCCATTTCATCAGCATATTAATGGCTTATTCTGCATGACAATATTTTAGACCTTTAATCCGACCCCACACGTAAACTACTTTACAACTAACTTACTAACTATTAATATGCAGCAAATTAAGAGTTTATTGAGGCAAAAGTTGTAGTTAATAGTTAGTTAATAGTGAAAACTGGTCCCCCAAACTAAAGTGTGACCTAAATTTGAATTGTTTGTTTAAAATGATTACTAGGGACAAGTCAGTAGTCACTGGATATTGGTAGAGACATGTCCCTAACATCCCCATTAATATGAGGTTGCTAAGGTGTCTTGAGTGGTTTTAGCTGGTTGTTTGGATGTTCTAGGTGGTTGTTTACTTACTGGCCCAAGACAAAACAGCAACCCAAGCTCACTGGGAAAGGGTGCCTGTGGCATCATTTTTGCAAAAACATATTTCGGTGCTTCTTGCGCATTGTGCGACACTTTCAAAGTATAACATCCAGTGAGTGGAGATGAAAGTATTTTTACATTTATCAAAAATAGATGAACGTGAATCTGGCAAAGTTTTGCTTTGTGTAGCAAAAATAGATTCAGTCTACTGTAGTCTACTTTGGCATGTTCTTACATCTGCAGAATTCCATCTCCTGGAGACAGATCTTCAAATATCCTATCCAGGGAAGATAATTTTGCTTTTAATCCGTTCATGGCCTTTGGTTTATTTTTGGCTTTACTATGCAGCCAGTTGTTTTGTTGTTCTCTCTTTGAATGGCTGTAGTAGATGTATCACTTAAACAGCCACCTTAAAGAGAGCACAGAGGCTGGTTAAAAATATGATCTTATTGCTAAATAAATACCGTACTGGGATCAATGCAGAAATGCAGTGGAGAATTGTTGCTTCTCCGTCCTAATTACCATATCATTAAGTATATATCACCCTCTTCCCAGACTCCATTTAAACTGATGATGCAACACAGCTTTATATTCTAATAAAACAAAAGAAATGGTGCTTAGTGGACATCAATTATTTAATACTCTTTTATACATCTTTATGAATAACTGCAGGGAATCTCTTTAAAAAGGCCAGATAGGCTCCATTCCAAAACGTAATGAGATGCTTACATCTGCATCTCATTTCCAAGGCAGCATCCAAAAGGCTGGAATACGTTACATGATTTTTGCCAAGACTTTTTGCCCCGATTGAGTGAGTTTGCAGATTTTGTTTTGTTAGATTTTGCTTCCAGATTTATTTAAATGACATGATATTATGGGCTGTCCTTGTGCCCAAATGGTTGCTATTTTTGGATTAAGCAGCTAAGTAAGACAGCAGTGTATGAGGGTATATCAAATCCCCCGGTGTTCTGCTTTGAAATACTGTGAAGGTTGAAGAGAGACGTTAAGAAGCAGTGCTGCAGAATTTCGTTCTTGCCGTTATTGTCAGAGACCTTGATGAGTTGCTCTTTGTCATACTGCAGTCACAGCACTCCCTCATATGTTGGTGTGTTTTGCTGCACGATGTATCATGTGCAGTTCTGTCAGTCTGCATAAAGAGGGGTAAATGTGCCTAAAACTGTCCTTGCATAGATCCCATCCTAGCATAGATTTTCTTCTTCTTCTTCTTCTTCTTAAAAAAAAAAAAGATTTAAATGATTAATTTGTTCTTGTGTTTACTTGTATAAATGTTAATTTCTTAGTAGTCAGATGCAGGGCGGTCTGTAGAAGGGTGATAGTCCTTGAGATGATTCACTAATTTTCCAGTCCTCGCAGACATACTGCTTACTTTAGTGTTTTAGAAGAGCATCTTCAGTACCACAGGGCAAATATGGGCTTAACCCAATAAAGCCTACTGTATCATATTCGATATACAAATTTCCAAGGCCTCTAAACGATCAACATGATCAAAACGTTGCTGAAAAATCTACTACATGCCCTCTGTCACCTGATTGATAGTTTATATTAACTGAGCTCTATATTCACCTATATCGCACTATATGAGTCAGAAAAGCCTGATGTATCAAATATGTGACCCTGGACCACAAATCCAGTCATAAGGGTCAATTTTTTTAAACTGATATTTATACATCATCTGAAAGCTGAATAAATACGCTTTCCATTGATGTATGGTTTGTTAGGATCAGACAATATTTGGCCGAGATACAACTATTTGAAAATATGGAATCTGAGGATGCAAAAAATTAAAATATTAAGAAAATCGCCTTTAAAGTTGTCCAAATGAAGTTCTTAGCAATGCATATTACTAATCAAAAATTAAGTTTTAATATATTTACGGTAGGACATTTACAAAATATCTTCATGAAACATGATCTTTACTTAATATCCTAATGATTTTTGGCATAAAATAAAAAATCTATAATTTTGACCCATACAATGCATTTTTGGCTATTGCTACAAATATACCCCAGCGACTTAAGACTGCTTTTGTGCTCCAGGGTCACATATAATAGAACACAAACCCATACAGTATGCGTTTTTAATATTTTTGGACTGTTATTACATATATAAGGCTTTACCGTTATAAACGATGTCAGTTATAAATGATTTCAGATGAGGATTACTAATGTTACTGTTACTGATGAGGAGTAACGCAACTCATGATCGAAAAATGTTCAGTGTGTTTTTGCCTGAAAGTGTTCATGTTGATTTGCTTTGCTGTCTTTGTAGTCTCTGTTTGATAACAGTGTTAAGTCAAATTTCAAGGACAGAAGGTGTCTGTGTTGACAGATCCTATAACATGGATCAATGGTTCAGAACGCTGCTGTCAGTTTAGACGGGTTGTAGCTGCAATGGAGCCACTGAAAATCTGCTTTGTGTTCAATTCAAACCACACCATACAGGTATATCAGTCAAACGGGCAGTGTGTGGTTGTGCTTTTCTGAGCTTCTTCATTTCAATTTGTTATATCATTATTCATTTTAATTAATATTATTTATGTTCATGTATGTATTAACTTATATATTCACAATTTGTAGCCTCTTCAGTCAATATGAAACAGTTTTTGCAGCCAATTTTATAGTGAAGTAAATTGCAAATATTAACTTCCAAGTAAAAAAAAATAAGGCCAAGATTGTGAATTAAGGCAGGCAATACATTTTGATTTAATATGAAGATGAAACTAAACAAGTTAGATCAACCTATTATCATAACAACTATTGGCATGATAATTTAGGCATGACCAATTGCACCTTTTTAGATGTCATGGCTGAAACTTGTCTAACAAACCGATTTAAGCGAAAATGTGTGTAGTAAATATATGTCACCCTGCTTTCTGTGTTCCAGCGGTGATGTCCCTCACCCAGGTGGCACCAGGTGAAATGGGGAAGGCTGTGATCATTCCCAAAGAAGAGCAGGAGAAGATGAAAGAGCTCTTTAAAATCAATCAGTTCAACCTTATGGCCAGTGACATGATTGCGCTTAACAGGAGTCTGCCAGATGTCCGGCTGGACGGGTGAGCGTGTGTGTTTCTCTACAGACAGACATTAATTAATCACAGCATCCAATCAGCTGCCACGGCAATCTCAACACAAATCAGCATTTATTAGGAAGACAATGACAAGAAACTCAAACACAAATAATACAAAAAATACAAACTTGTTGTAATTTATAATAAGCGATAATCTGATATCCTCATGCATGGTACATGAAGTTTCTGTGGATAGTTGCATTTAATGTATTTATGGTATGGATAGTATGTGTGGTTACCCAGAAATTAATGGTAAAATTTGCCATTTTAATTGGAAACCTGGATTTTCACATGAGAATCCCTTTCCTCATGGGAAATAAATTTGCCTCAAGGACTTATAGATTTTACAATGACACATTTTCAGTATAAATGTAATTTTTCAAGTGAATTGTTCCTCTCATGAACCCAATGGATCTGAGACTTTATTTTACATACTTTGGGTGAAAGTGTTTAACAGCCAGCACAAAATGTTCTGTAAACGTTTGCGCTTGCCAGTTGTTTTGAAACCACTGAAAATAACTCCAAACAAACTTTGCTATAGCCAGATTTTGTTCGAAATGATGCTTCACTTGTTCATACTTTTGCTTGAAGTATATTGGGACGTATGACTATCATTTCAACTCCATAGATGTTATGTTAAATGTGAGTTATTGTTTTACAAGCCGCTATTCCTTCTAGAAAGCGTCTTATTCACAATAAAATCAGCAGGCTAAAGAAGGTTGAAGATCACACACTTCAGCAGTTTCAGAGAGAGAGAGAGATGTTTGTATTTTCTGACTCTCATGGATGCATTTGAATTTTGTACAGACACATTGGAAAGCTAGCAATTTCTCTTGGAGAAATGGGCAAGACTATGAACTGACAATTAGTTAGCTGTGTTAGTGTTAGTTGAGTGTTACTCTTAGTTGAGCGAAAAATTTAAGGTGTTTTTTTTGTTTTTTAGAATTTTTTTAATTTAACTTTTCACAAGAATAGGTAGTAAAGATTAAAACATACCCTTTAGTTACTGCTCATTATTATTATTATTATTATTATTATTATTATTATGTAAAAGCTCCAGTTTTCATCCCTCTGTCTGTCTCGGTGCAGTGAATAAGGTCTTTGTTTATAGAATCCAAAGAGCCATTCGAGTTACATAATGAAATCCCAGAGAGCTGTTAGAGCAAAACATGCCACATTCATCTGGTGTGTTTGAGTTATGCCACCCTTCAGCACACTGAAGGCCATCACCCACATACACTCGTTCCTTCCCTCCCTGCATTCACTGATATATGATTCTCTTAAAACGAACATTAAAGCCTCGTACACACCGGGACGATTATCGTGCGCGCTTATCGCCAACGTTTTTCGACGCGTATTTTGTGTTCATACCCAAGCGATTTTCACAGGAGATGAGCCGGGTGAACGTGCAAATTCACTCCCTGACATTAGATGGCGCTTAATGAAAAACAGAAATACCCTGGTACACATCGAATCCTATTTGATCTGCAATTCCTCTCCATAACAATTCCCTCTTATCGAGATTTTTGTAGTCGCTGTCGCGTTTGTCATGAAGCCCTTTGTGTTCAGACACCAATGAGACCAGCAGCTCTACATTCATCTTGCCTCGATGCATCTTCTTGGTCTGCTTACTTCCTCTTTGTCATTAGGTATCAATGTGTGCTCGGCAAGACCGTTTTGTGCTTGAGCGCCACCAAGTCGTGTTTTACTGTAACTTCAGCAGCTCCAGGCACGTGAACAAAAGCGCCAATCACATTGGTCGTCCAGTTTTTAACGCGGCGCGTCAAACCAAAAAAACGAGCCTGAGGCGTTTTTTTTTTAAATTACACTTTTACGCCTCGCATTTTGCACGTCAGTGTGCACACTCACATTGGCGCCCTATATGATTTATTTATTGATTTATGTATGATATATGATTTATATATTTATTTAGAATTCCAGCTAATTAGATTTCATGTAGCACTTCAATCGATCAGTCATGGAAGTCTGATTTGTTGATAACTTTTGACAACATTTAATCCAGGTGCGAAAATAATTCATTTCTAGCGCAAGAGCGCGGAGAGATTTGCGAGTGCAAAGCGTCCGGTTTAGTGTGAGAGCAAAGGCAATCCACGTGCGAGCAGAGAGATTCGCGCTAGCGCATCATAGCAATGTACTTTCGCGCTACAACAGTGCGCTCTCGACATTTGACAGTAAAATAACGCCATACATTTTACCAAAGATCTGGCATTTCTGTAACATGTTTGCCAAATTTTAAATGGAAACGCAAAGTCCATATGCAAGTGCATTTCCAATGTCTTACTAGCTAAGATTTTGTCATTTTGGAATAGCAATCAAAAAAATAACACATTTGCTATTCAGTTTTCTGTGTCCTGCTCCAACCCTTACAAAATTCTAATGGAATCGCAAGTGCTTTTGTCCTTTGACAGTCAACTGTCAATCAGTCTAGAGGGTTTATTGATATAGTCAGATAGTATGCCACGCCCCCTACTGGTGGAAAACAAAGCATTGTTAATTGCTTTCCTCCATCGCTATGAGGAAAATGGGGAATTTGGCAATTTTTGCAATAAAAAAACATCCATATTTATTTTATCATTATTATTATTATTTTTCCAAAAATAAATAAATAAATACAAAATAAAATAAAAATAAAAAAATAAACAAAAGAAGCAAAAATAAAACTGCCATGACTGCAGGAAACAAAACACTGCGTAAAAACAAAAACAAAAACGGAGGGAACACATGGAGGTAACTGTTTATCAGTCTGGTATTCTGTCACATTGCGACTGTGAGGAGCACGGAGAGAGGAACGAGGATACGAGGAGTAGACTTCAAACCAACAGACTTTAATTAACATTCATGGAACCAGGAACACACACGTAGCGGGGAAAGACGAACATTCAATACCAGACAAAGGAACTCTGAATAGGACTCACTTTAAATACACAGGACTAGAGGAGAGGATGATGAGAAACATCTGGAACTAATGAAACAATCAAAATGGACGAAAACCGGGTCATGGAGCATGTGGGGGAGGAAAAACACACATATAGAGTCCAGGGGCGTGACACCATATAGCAAATTACTTGATTATTAATGTAATTTCAGAATGTAAACTATGTTATCGCCCAGTGATATATTTAAAGTTGTATATATATACATATATCTACATCCACTTTAAAGCAATATAAACTATATATCAAATTTCAACGGCTTGATTGTTCATGTTGATGCAAAATGTATTCTATATTATTGCCCAGCTGTAATCTGCTAAATGTGTCTATATGTCATTAAGATATTACGATATAATAAACATTAAACTCAGGGTTATCTGCAAAGCTGCTGAAATTTTGTTTATGCAAACAACATTTATTTGACTCTGTATGTCAAAAAATGGTTGGTTTTTACACTTTTTATCATATTAACCTTGTTCTTGTGTGTTCCTCAGCTGTAAAACCAAGACGTACCCTGATGACCTTCCAAACACCAGCATTGTGATCGTGTTTCATAATGAAGCCTGGAGCACACTTCTAAGAACCATACACAGCGCCATAAACCGCTCGCCCAGACACCTGCTGCTCGAGATTCTGCTGGTGGATGATGCCAGCGAGAGAGGTCCTAATCACATCAATTCATTAAAATTTGCATGTTGAGTTATTCCTTCAGTATCACAATACCAGTCAATGGCAGAATATATCCAGTGTCATCGTTTATGTGAATGTTGGCAACAAATTATCTCTAAAGTTTATTTAGTCCATAAATGTAATTCAGCTTCTTAGAGACCTGAGTGAGGAAACATTAAATGGGTCATGAGCTGAGAAATCAAAATTCTCTTGATCGTTTGACATATAAGAGGTCATTGCACTGTAAAAGCATCCTGTAAGTTTCAGAACTCAAAACTCATTAGTCTAAAAACAGCTTATGTTGAAGCCAATCTGCCAAAATGACAGGTTGTGGAATGTGCCACTTTATGACGTAATACAGGTGCATCTCAATAAATTCTAAACCCCGCCTCCGCACAAGAAGATCAACGCCTGCTTCTACATCACTGCCTGTTTAGCTCCGCCCACTGATTCACGCATGTAGTGTAAATAACGAGAGAAGCAAACGCAGGTCTATGCAGAAACCAAAAGATAAAGATGTTCCGTAGACATCAAGACACTGTGCAGAGCCAAGCTGTGGAAAAACACAGTCTTTGCATCACCTTCCTTCTGATCCCAACATTAGGCAAGAGTGGATGAACAGAGTATTTATGTTTTTTAACCTAAATCATAGCAGTGTTCATCTATGAGGAATGTAGGCTGTCAAACATACACAACTGTCAGCCAATCATAGCAGTGGGCGTTTACTTCCGAGTCGACAACCCGCCACGCCTACTCAAACAGAGCATTCTGATGAGGACAGAAAATAACCTATTACCTTCTGAATTATGATGTTTTATGAGGTAAAAATCTTGATAACAATATAAGTGGCCCTCAGAGAACAGTACAAAATAATAAAAAAGGCAGTTATCAGTAAGAACTTGGTCCTTTCTTCACTTCGTTTTACCATGGATTCGTTTACAAACAAGGCACAATTCGATGCATGACTTTCAGAAAGATTGAAAATAAAAGACGATGCTGTGCCGACTACATTGGATCCAACAGTAATGTCGCACCACACAAGTGTGAGGAACTGTTTTTATTACGTGGTCACTATTGCTTTGTCTATTACTGTATGTATTAAGTATTTATGCGCTTTTAACCAAAATCAGAGCAGCATCCATCTATGAAGGATGTAGGCTGTCAAACATACACAACTGTTAGCCAATCATAGCAGTGAGCGTTTACTTCCGAGTCTACAATCAGCCACACCTATTCAAACAGAGCGTTCTGATGAGAGGGGTCAAAACAGTACAGAAAATAGCCTATTACTTCTAAATGATGATGTTTTTTGATGTAAAAATCTTGATAACATTATAAGTGTACCTCAGAGAACAGTACAAAATAATAAAGGCACTTCATGACCCCTTTAAGATGTGTGTTATATAAAGATGTTCACCATAACCTCATCTCTGTAAATTACCTCTGCTTTTATTGACTGATTGATTGCAGATTTTCTAAAGAAAAAATTAGAGGACTATGTTGCGACTCTGGAGGTTCCAGTGCGAATTTTGAGGATGGAGCAGCGATCCGGTTTGATCCGAGCACGACTAAGAGGGGCGGCCGCCACACGAGGACAGGTCATCACCTTCCTGGACGCTCACTGTGAGTGTACTGTAGGGTGGCTGGAGCCACTGCTGGCCCGGATCAAAGAGGACAGGTGAGTGTGCTTGACTGTGTACAGACAATCTATTCCTGAGCCCCAAACTTTGCATTTTATAGACTTGAGAATGTTATTTTTGCTTTTCCTTTTCTCATGCTTTTTGCCATAAGAGTAACTAAATATAGTACTTAGCAAAAGATGTTTACAATAAACTTCAGTCAGACAGCAGAGAATGTACTGTAGAGCAGTGGTTCTCAGCCTCTTTGACTCCAAGGCCCCCTATATTGTCAAAGACAATATTCAAAGACCAACATGTAAGCTATGCCATTTCTGGTATTATGATTTTATTTACACTAGGAGTGGCAATATATTAAAATAATGAAACTATTATAAGTAATTAAATTCCATAATTCCAGAGTTTACACTTTTTATTACATTTATTTTATTTACTTGATTTTTCCAGTCATCTAGGATTATAGGAATTTTTCAAATTTAAATTAAATTATAAGTTTACCAAAACTGTGAAACTCTGGTTTTTCAATAAATATGGCAGTTGTTGAGGAAATTAATTATAATAAAAATATGATGTCAGATTACACTTGATTTTTAATTTTAGAAAGTTTGTTTTGTCTGAGTATAAATTATTTTAAACCATCTTGCATCCCTAGTGGGTCCCGGACTGCTGGTTAAGGAAAATTATTAAATGTTTGGTTGTTTTAGGTGAAAGTCCACAAAAACATTTATACACAAATAAATTTGATCCAGTAATCGACTTAAGCATAAACTTGCTCTACTGCTTGAATGGAATGCTTACCTTTCCAGCTGCTTTGGTTCATGGTCTCTCAAAGTATAATCTTGTTACAGGTCAGTAAGTGTGACGTGTCCTCCATCTGTAAAGCGATCTTTATTACGTTCACACAGATTCAGGTATACAGAACACAGATTCAGAATTGCATTACTGAGAATATCTTGTTACTCTTACAAGCACACTCACTCAGACACTCACTTTCAGAGTCTCGCTCAGCCTCATGCTCAGGTGCTTTGATGCAGGAAACCTTTCTGTGAGAGCATGTGCTATGTGCTGCATGCTTTAAAGATTTTTATTTCCCCGTCTGGCCGAATCACAGCGCAGTAAGGGATAAGTTGCTCATTTGGGTGTGTATAGCATTATGCGGTCCGTGTATTGAGTTTGCATTGATCAGAATCGGTCTAGTGGTGCTAAAGCTGGAGGTGTTTATCCAATTAACATTCTGGAAGCATGAGCTACAATGTGGACTGTTTCTATTTGGAAATGTGTCTAGGTAATTTTTTTTTTCTGCTACACAAAGGATAGTCTAGTCAGATGGGCATTATTGCAAAAATAAACCTGGACAGGCTGACCTGATGCAAAGTCATTTTGGACTGTTATACAGTTAAATAACTTTAAGAGCTGGTTTCACAGTCAGGGCTTAGACTAATGGCTCGTTTCCACTGAGCAGTACGGTACAGTACAGTTCAGTTCAGTACAGTACGATTCGGTAACGTGTAACCCTGATCCAGCTTGCGTTTCCACTGCCAGTAGTACCTTTCTTGATAGGTGTGGTGTATGCCGGAAAGTAGCGATCGACGATAAAGCGCGACAATAAGCACAACTCTGCCTCTTTTTGTTAAATGTCAGTTTTAATGAACAATAATAGCCATTATAAAAGTACAAGTACAAAGTATAAGAGGCTCATATAAGAGGAAATAAAGACAAAAGCAAACAATTCAGTCAAACGTATGCTACAAAGTCAGCACTGTACTACGGTAAAGTTCAAAATAAATATATAAAGTTAAACGTTGTGCTCAGCCAAAACGATATGACCAGGAATAAATAATAGATTCATGAGACCATGAATCCCTGTTAAATATAGCCTACCCAAAATGAATTGTATCTCATGTTTAATCACTACAGAGACATCAGAGCCAGCGGCAAATGTCGGAAGGACTAGCCGAGCTGAGGCTGCTCTCGGCGGATACATGAGCACTGAGCGCCCGGTGATCGCCTGGAGCTCCGAAATTGGCATAGCAAATTTTCAAATAGGTGCTATCTTTATAAATAAACCACAGATTTGAGTTTTAAACAATTACATTCTCACCTGAAAAACTCTTAAAACTACATTTCATGACACAATAACAGTAATATTTAGAAAATTACGCTGGTTTTTGGGCAATGACGTTTCACAAATCCACAAGAACAGACAAGAACGCATATTGAGAAACGGCTATTGTCTGTGTGAAAATATAAAATTAGAAAATACACGGTTATATTTTTTTGTTTTTGCGCATTCTGATGTAAATAAGCCCAACACTCATGGACAGCAAAGCGAAACGAGGGAAGGACGCTTTATCCCCTTGTATCACGCAAAAGTGACGATTCTAGTCAACCAATCAACGTTCTGCGGTAAGTTTAGCTCCACCCTTTTGGTACACTTTGCTGTTCTAGGTACCCCAACGGAAGGGTACCAAAAAAGTGGTACGGTTCGCTATTTTGGTACCATTCACAACTTCTGACAGTGGAAACGAAAATAAGTGCGTACCGTACTGTACTGTACCGAACCGTACCATACTGCTCAGTGGAAACGAGCCATAAGCCAGGTTTAGGCCATAGTTCAATTCGGACATTTAAGTATCTTTTATAGCCTAAATGTTCCTTAGAAAGAAAACAAAAAAACTGGTGTGAATCTTGATACATAACAATAGCACTGATATTTTTTATGATCTGTCAGTGCAAGTTTCTTTCAGTTAAAACAGCTCAGGCATGCATTTTAGTCTGGGACTAGGCTTAAGCCTTGTCTGTGAAAGCGATTCATCTGAATCCAGGATCTTAGGGTGGTATGACCATTTGAGCCATTCTATAGGTGTATGTTTGTTGATGAAAAGGTATGCATCATGGGAATGCTTTAAAGACTTACTAATCTTAAAGTAAACTAAAAAGCAGGTATTTTATTTGGCAGAGAGGGACGTTTTTAAGTATTCCTTTTTTTTCCCTCAATTTTTTTTTCTTAGCTTTCTCATGCTTTGTTTGTAGGCATCCTTTATGTAAGGCTGTAATTCGATATGTTAAAAAATTGAAGCAATTCTTGTCAAAATACCCTATTTTCCACTGTGACACTAGGCTGAAGGTGAATGGGTTATTTTTGTTTGTCATTCTAGGAGGGCTGTGGTCTGTCCAATCATTGATGTCATCAGTGATGAGACATTCGAGTACATGGCCGGCTCAGATATGACCTATGGGGGATTCAACTGGAAGCTCAACTTCAGATGGTATCCAGTTCCTCAGAGAGAGATGGACCGACGCAAGGGGGACAGAACCCTTCCCGTTAGGTAATAAAATTAGCGTTTTATTTTAAAGTTTGATGTGAATAATGTAAGTACAGTATTCTGTGCATTATTCACAAATGGCTCTGAGAATGACCCGTGAAATCTTCTGTGCTATATTGTTTCTTTCAAACACACACTATTCATTACAATGGTAAGAGACAGAGCCTTTGTTCCAAATAAATCAAAACCTTCACATAATGGCTGATTTTTTTTGTTAATAGAACAGACAGCATGTAATGTAGGCGGCACAATGGTTTAGTTGTTGTCACTGCAACACTGCCAGTTACATTATCACCAGAGGCGGACAAAGTACTCAACTCCATTACTTGAGTGAAAGTACAGATACTGCTAAGTAAGATGTGAATCTAACATCTATCATCTATCTAACATGAATCTAACATCTGATATCATCAACTCTTTAAACCAGTTCTTCATTATCCTGAGGATTTTTATAAAGGAAGGTTTTAAACTGAACTAGTTTTACTTTTCATATGTCTTTCAAGCATGATATGCAAAAGCAAACATTTGTTAGTGTAAAACTAAGGCTTGTAATTTGGACCTCAAAACATGCTGTGATATGATTACAATTTGTTTAGATTTAGAGACCTGCAATCGGTATATTGCTTTTTACACAGTTACATTTTTATTACAACTAGGGCTGGGCGATATAGCAAAAAAATTTATCGATATAATGTTTCATATCGTTCGGTATCGATAATTATTGACATTTTTTATAACCTTTTTTAAAACAAAGAGCAATAGAAAAAAATGTTTAAATTTAACCACTGTATTTTTAAATTAACCCAATTTATTGAGACAAACAAAAATATTTTTTGTTTTAACAGTCAAACACAAAATAAAAATTAAACAATTATCTAATTTCTAATGTTTTACATGCAGATTAAATAGGTCTGAAGGAAACTTTTGGCTTGTCTCCCGAAGCCACAGGAGGGCGCAATGAGCAAAATAATGCAGTGCATTAAATTGCCAATGAAAAGGAAATAACTGTCTATAAAAAAAATAAATAAAAAAAACGTGCATTACGTCTAAATTAACTCATATAAATCAAACATAATTTCGTAAATTGCATAAACAATTATAAACAAAACAGCATCATGTATTTATGCATTGCTTAATGCAAAGAGCCGAAGCGCCATTCACGCAGATTGCATTTAAAAACATGAGACGCAGCGAAAAGGAATAAACCTCCACAAATTTGTGACGTGTTTTCTAAAAGTTTATTTTGAATGAATAATGCAGCAACTGCGCGTCTTGTGGGCTGGACTTATAAAACATTAAAATGCAACAACATCACCGCATCTCGCGCTCCACTAATGATGCTCCCAGACGCACACCGAACATTTGATTGTACTATTTTTGCATTCAAATTCAAATGTTTATTTTAAATTCGACTAATATTCTTTTTTTTTATTCACAATCTCCTCAGCAGAGGCAGGCACAGCACTCAGTTCAGCATGTGTTCGTGTTTTCGTGCGCTCTGCGTCACTCATAGCACGTGCCTATATCGTGCGCTATATCGAACATTTTTTCTATCGTTATCGAAGAAGGTGTACCGTCGATAAATATCGATACTGTTTTATCGCACAGGCCTAATTACAACTCACAAATGCAACCAAAATAACAACAACAAAACCTTTAGTCACACATGATATCACCAGTCGTCTGATGACAGCTCATCACTGGCTTGTTCAGTGGGACAAGCAATGACAATTGTCAAGAAAGTCTGTCATTTTTCTGTACTAAAATGTGCACATCTAGTATCCACATTAGGACACACAGAGCAAAATGAATTATGTCATTTAAAAAAAAAATATATATATTGTTGAAAAAAATGCATTTTTACAGACAAATAATTTTATATCATATTTAAAAAATATATTATTTAATTATATATTATTATTATTTATGAATGCATTTATTTTACACATTGCATTTATACATAATATTGATATTGATTGACATTTATTTATCCTTATCGATGTATCATTACACCCCTATAAAGAAGGTTATTGGTCAGAGGTTTCTCTTGCCAATAACACACACACACACACACACACATACACACACACAGGATCTATGGCATGTTCTCATGTAGGCCATGTGTTCCGGAAGGCCACACCATACAGCTTCCCTGGTGGAACTGGTGGAACGATCAACAAGAACAACAGACGATTGGCTGAAGTCTGGATGGATGAGTTCAAAGATTTCTTCTACATCATCTCACCAGGTGATACTCTTCAGGAAATCGATAAATGACACTTCACTTACTGAGATGGACCATCACATAATCTTTGTAGCTTTACTTTTGGTTGTTTTGACTACTTTCAAGCATATCTTTTTAACTAAATGTAAAATATAGGGTAAAAGTGAAATTGAGATGACACCACACTTCTACCAAGCCAATTCTTTAACGCTAGTGAACTAGTGAATTCAGAATATGGCCCATTAAAGCGGTAACCGTGTTCTCTCACAGGTCTTCATTAGTGTCAGCGTGAGGCATGGCTGTCTTTACAGAGATGCAGAGGGTTTTCTATAAATAGCACGTTGATTTGCATCTGTGGTCATGGTTGTTTTGAAAGACTGTAATTATCTTATCGTTTGGCCTCCTGGACTCATTGCTGTGATCTGTCGTTTGCCTTCTATATCCCTGTAAATATTCAGCCTTCCTCAAGCTTAAACAGGCAATAGGGAATTGTAGCACACTAAATTTATTCAAATGCAATTCCTTAAACACATCCTCTTTTACTTTTTTTATCTTACTTTTTTCCTTTTTGATTGCACCTTTTCTTTTGTCCTCTCTCTCACTAGCACGCACACGCGCACATGCACACACACACACACACACACACACACACACACACACACACACACACACACACACACACACACACACACGTCTTCCAAACATGATGTGCAAAAGTCAAGAGTTGTCAGTGTAATAAACAAAAGGCTTGTAATTTGGACGTCTAAACATACTGTGATACGATTATGATTTTTATTTTATTTTTTGATTTAGAGACCCGCAATCAACCTGTATGTTGTTTTTACACCGTTACATTTTGGTTACAACTCACAAATGTAACCAAAATAACAACAACAAAACCTGTAGTCACGCATGAGATCAGCAGTCGTTTGATGACAGCTCATCATTGGCTTGTTCAGTGGGACAAGCAATGACAGTTGTGAAGAAAGTCTGTCATTTTTCTAGACTCTCTAAAATGTGTACATCTAGTATCCACATTAGGACATAAACAACACAATGAGGTATGCAATTAAAAAAAATACAGAAAATGCATACATTTATACAGAAATATTATACATATTATACAGAAATATAATAACATTGCATCTATACATCATATTGGTAGTGATTTGATTGATATTTATTGATCCTTATCAATGTATCATTACACCCCTATAAAGAAGGTTATTGATCAGAGGATTCTCTTACACAGACTACAGTGGTTCACATCACTTAACCTAGCTATTGATGGTGGGTACATATATATATATATAGCCTACAGTATATACACCCCGTCAGACTGATTAATTCTGAGGTTTTGTTTGAATCTTTTCCACAGAACTCCCACAATGGCAGGAGGTCTGTTCTCTATTGACAGAACCTATTTTGAAGAGATTGGCACCTATGATTCAGGCATGGACATATGGGGAGGGGAAAACCTTGAAATGTCTTTTAGGGTGAGAGCTCCATTTTATGGTAGTTTAAAACATTAAAAAAATAGCAGGGGTCATAAATGATGATGTTCTGCCTTATTATATTCATAAATACATGCTGATTTTTTTATTGTAATTGTATGTGGCCATGTTTTAAAGATCCTTGTTGATTGTATTTCTTTTGTTTGTGTGTGAATAGATCTGGCAGTGTGGAGGATCTATGGAGATAGTCACATGTTCTCATGTAGGCCATGTGTTCCGGAAGGCCACACCATACAGCTTCCCTGGTGGAACTGGTCAGGTGATCAACAAGAACAACAGACGATTGGCTGAAGTCTGGATGGATGAGTTCAAAGATTTCTTCTACATCATCTCACCAGGTAATACTCTTCAGGAAATCGCTAAAAGACACTTCACTTACTGAGATGGTCCATCACATTATCTTTGGAGCTTTAATTTTGGTTGTTATGACCAGTGGTGTAGCCAGGGCCGTTTCTAGCCAATTTGACGCCCTAGGCGAAATCCCAATAGATATATGATATATATATAATTCTTTTCAGACACCAGTTGCTTGTCACATTCAAATTGGTTGTCATAGTAACGACACTAATTTGTGGAGATTCAGTGCATTATTTACTGTACCAATATTTTAAATTGGCCTTTGAACTTAGCTTTATTGCATGGCAAAAAAAAAAGTGTTACCTTGCCAAAGCACTGACAGAGCCCACTGATCTAATGGCGTTGTTGAGCGCTCCAAATGCAAACTTTGCATGCAACAATCAGGCAGCAATTGACAGCAGTCTGATCTAGTGGCATACAGGCATCGTCAGATTGATAGTACTCTAGCCCAATAATGTTGGGGGATCCAGTGGGGGCGGCAGTCATATTTCAGGGTGACCATGCCACTCTTTATCACAACCCTGCTAAAAGTGCCAGTACGTGCGCTCATTGGCGCCCCTTCAGCTGGTGGTGCCCTAGGCGACCGCCTAGCTCGCCTATGCCTAGAAACGGCCCTGGGTGTAGCGGTGCCTTGAGAAGTGGATATACTCTTAATTTATGCCCCCATTTTTTTTTCAAGTGGCCCAGCAAAGGATGAACTCCCTGTGTTATAAACAGTGACATGCAAGACTAATTTTGCATATTTAGTTCACCCCAAAATGGGGCAGTAGTATTTGCATAGTCACTTAACTTCTGCTGCTTGACTTCACAAAGTAAGGATCATTATGAAATTAATATTAGCCATAAAAGAGGTACAGATTTTGCAATAAATAAAAATAAAATAAAAATAAATAGAAACAATTAACATTTTGTCAGAACCTCTAGTAAATTACATGTTATTTTCTTTAGTTGTCCAGAATCGTAGGAGAATCATGATCTGTATTTGAAACAAAAATTGTGATTCTCAATTTATGCAGAATTGTGCAGCTCTGCTCCTGCATGTGACTGACTGTTTGCTCTAATTGACAGATTTTATTATTGTTATTATTATTATTTATTTTTTTTCTCTTTTAATTGGCTGAGAAATCAAATGCACTGCTGGACAATAACCAATCATTTGTGTTCTATAATATTTTTCCTATATTTTCCTAATGACAATTTTATGATTTGTTTATATACTACAAACACTTTTTACATTTTTATTACAGAATCAGGCAGAAGATATATGTAATAAATGCTGTCAATGAGCACTGCATTATTCAGATGCTTTTTTATTACGTAGAGATGACTTGAAAAACACATAAACCATATATTGTTGCAATGTGTTTACTGTATTTACGTTCCATCAGTCAAAACATTTTTTATCAATGCTAAGGTAACAAAAATGTAAGTACAGAAAATATCAAAAGTACGTACAAAGAAGTGACATTACAAGCAAAGCACCGTTTATACATGTATATAGGCTAACAACAAATAAATATTAATATAAAACAAATAAATAATATAAAACGAAAGCTTTAACAAAATAAATTAAAAAGGTGAAAAAAGTTAACTGTTTTAAGAGCTTTAAGATTCTTGGAAGATGCAATAGTCTGAATATACTGTTGAACCTCTTTTTAAAGAGGTTCATCTTTTTGATGAGTGAATTTATAACAGTGAATATGAAATTTTGCAAAAAGTAATAATAGGTTAATGATAAAGTATTCATTAATTTTATCTTTTGTATATTAATTATATTAAAGAAGCCAAACAGTACATCCTTAAAAAACAGACAAAATGTTTCTTTTTTATTCAGCTTAACTACAACGGAGATTGCTTTGGCTACAGCGATAGCGGGATGCCTTGTTTATATACAAACACTTTTTTTTTTATTACAGAATAAGGCAGAAGATATATTTTGTCGTTTCTATAGCCAACTGTAATAAATGCTATGTCAATTAGCACTGCATTATTCAAATGCTTTTTATTACCTGGAGATGACTTGAAAACACACATAAACCATATATTGCAATCGTGTGTTTATTGTCTTCATGTTTCATCAGTAAAAACCTTTCTTTGTATTCAGCTTAGCTACAGCAGAGATTGCTTTGGCTATGATAGCTGAGTGCCTTTATCCATATTAGGGATTTCCTGGTGTCATAAGTTATTACTTCTACGAGTCAGTTTTGGACTTTCTGGGTTTGAGTATGAATGAAACACACTGCATGAGAGTGTTTACGCCTCGGTCCTGACCGCATCATCGTCTTTGGGTATTTTTAGGGAATTTTTGCATTAATTCAAATGCGAATGGATTAGCTACTCACGTGCTGGACTCTCATGGTTTTGGCTAATGCAGGACAACTGAATGATGCTCATCAGAGGGGATTTAGAAGTGGGTATACGCAATGCTGACTGATAAAGAAGTGGGTATACGCAGTATACCTGCGTATTCCCTGCACTACACCACTGGTTATGACTACTCTCAAGCAAGTCTTTTTAACTAAATGTAAAATATAGGGCAAAAATGAAACTGAGACCACAATTTTACTAGTGAACTAGTGAATTCAGAATATGGCCCATTAAAGCGGTAACCGTGTTCTCACAGGTCTTCATTAGTGTCAGCGTGAGGTATGGCTGTCTTTACAGAGATGCAGGGGTTTCTATAAATAGCACGTTGATTTGCATCTGTGGTCATGGTTGTTTTGAAAGGCTGTACTTATCTTATCGTTTGGCCTCCTTGACCCATTGCTGTGATCTGTCATTTGCCTTCTATATCCCTGCAAATATCCAGCTCTCCTCAAGCTTACACTGACAATAGGGAATTGTAGCGCACTAAATTTCTTCAAATCCAATTCCTTAACCACACATCCTCTTATCTTACTGTTTCCTTTTTGCTTGTACCTTTTCTTTCTCCGTCTCTCTCACTAGTGCACACACACACACACACACACACATACTAACATCTGTGGTTTACGGGGATTCTCCATAGTCGTAATGGTTTTTATACTGTACAAACTGTATTTTCTATCGCCCTACACCAACCCTACACCTAAACCTACCCCTTACAGAAAACTACTGGCAATTTTTTAATTTCATAAAACACCGTTTTGTATGTTTTTGAAGCCTTTTGTTTTACGGGGACACAGGTAGTGTCCTCATAAACCATGTTTACGTTGTAGTACCCATGTCTACAACATACACATACAACAATATATAATATATATATTAATAAAATAAATGGAAAACAAAACAAAATTAAAAAAACAATGTAAAACAAGGTAAAATATAGTTTTTGGGAGGTAAATTGTCTTAATTATTTTACCTTTGTCAGCTGTGGCAAAATGAAAATGTTTGCACACTGGTTCGACACATTGTGTTACCATTCCTTGACAAATTCTGTTCCACAACCTTTCAAGTGAACGTTTTCCAACAAAAGACACTTTTCATCTTATTCCTACCATGAAACATCAATATTTTATCCCCATTCAACTTTAACAGCCACTACTGTGCCACATCCCCCTAAAACATTTTTTACATCCATCTGTCTTGCTCATATTTGCTGATCTGGACAGTCCGCAAGCGTTTCTGCTATAGCGCAGATCAGTGGGACCTGATAAAGAAGTGGGTATACGCAGTATACCTGCGTATTCCCTGCACTACACCACTGGTTATGACTACTCTCAAGCAAGTCTTTTTAACTAAATGTAAAATATAGGGCAAAAATGAAACTGAGACCACAATTTTACTAGTGAACTAGTGAATTCAGAATATGGCCCATTAAAGCGGTAACCGTGTTCTCACAGGTCTTCATTAGTGTCAGCGTGAGGTATGGCTGTCTTTACAGAGATGCAGGGGTTTCTATAAATAGCACGTTGATTTGCATCTGTGGTCATGGTTGTTTTGAAAGGCTGTACTTATCTTATCGTTTGGCCTCCTTGACCCATTGCTGTGATCTGTCATTTGCCTTCTATATCCCTGCAAATATCCAGCTCTCCTCAAGCTTACACTGACAATAGGGAATTGTAGCGCACTAAATTTCTTCAAATCCAATTCCTTAACCACACATCCTCTTATCTTACTGTTTCCTTTTTGCTTGTACCTTTTCTTTCTCCGTCTCTCTCACTAGTGCACACACACACACACACACACACACATACTAACATCTGTGGTTTACGGGGATTCTCCATAGTCGTAATGGTTTTTATACTGTACAAACTGTATTTTCTATCGCCCTACACCAACCCTACACCTAAACCTACCCCTTACAGAAAACTACTGGCAATTTTTTAATTTCATAAAACACCGTTTTGTATGTTTTTGAAGCCTTTTGTTTTACGGGGACACAGGTAGTGTCCTCATAAACCATGTTTACGTTGTAGTACCCATGTCTACAACATACACATACAACAATATATAATATATATATTAATAAAATAAATGGAAAACAAAACAAAATTAAAAAAACAATGTAAAACAAGGTAAAATATAGTTTTTGGGAGGTAAATTGTCTTAATTATTTTACCTTTGTCAGCTGTGGCAAAATGAAAATGTTTGCACACTGGTTCGACACATTGTGTTACCATTCCTTGACAAATTCTGTTCCACAACCTTTCAAGTGAACGTTTTCCAACAAAAGACACTTTTCATCTTATTCCTACCATGAAACATCAATATTTTATCCCCATTCAACTTTAACAGCCACTACTGTGCCACATCCCCCTAAAACATTTTTTACATCCATCTGTCTTGCTCATATTTGCTGATCTGGACAGTCCGCAAGCGTTTCTGCTATAGCGCAGATCAGTGGGACAGATATTTCACCCTGATGAGAGACTTTCCTTCTTTTATTTATGTCTTGGCATTGTGCTAAGCGTCTGAGTTCTGCTTCGCTGCTCACATATTCATAAACGTTCTGCTTTTCTTATCTGCATCTGGCCCCTAGGGAGACCTGGGAAATGTAGTG